CCCTCCCTCCTTTTCCCCCCTGCCCAAAGCCTTTCATTGCGTAGGCCTAGGGCCTAGATCTAGTATGAGGAGTCCGGACTCGTGTTGTTAACACAGTCAAAAATTAAATTGGGACGCCTCTTAAAGTATCTGATGCAATTATTTGCTTGATAAAGTTTCTTAGGTCTATTGTTAGTACCGATCCAGATTTTCTTTCTTTTCTGTCGTATGAACAAGAACGAAAAATGCTATGTACTGGATTGTGGGATCCACTGCATGCCCCCCGCCCGCCCCCCCCTCTCTCTCTCTCTCTCTCTCTCTCTCTCTCTCTCTCTCTCTCTCTCTCTCTGCTCTCTCTCTCTCTCTCTCTCTCTCTCTCTCTCTCTCTCTCTGGGTGTGTGTGTGTGTGTGTGTGTGTGTGTGTGTGTGTGTGTGTGTGTGTGTGTGTGTGTGTGTGTGTGTGTTTGTGTGGTTTCGTGTGTTCCCACTCCCCTCTTATTTTCATAACCGTACCTCTCTTTTCTTCTCCATCCCACTTTACCTGCTCTTCAACTTTATACATTTTCTCTATTATATATCCTTCTTGTCTTATTTGTCTTATAATCGCCACCGCCGCCATCCTTCCACGACTCACGGTATTAGCTGTCTTATTATTCTTTTCCACTGATGAAACAACCCTGAAGAAAGATGGTAGATGCAACAAAGTGAGCACTTTTGCTCCTCAGTTCTTACTTTATTTTACTTTTTCCTTCCTCTGGTATCCTTAGGATGTTGAGGGGAGGTACAGGTTTTGGAGTCTGTGATAGATATGCTAATTAGTTATATTGTTCCAGGGCCTTTTAACCCCATCCAGTCAGGTCTTTTTTTGGTCTTCCTCTTGATTTAAGCGGGTGTGGTAAGCTCTAGCCGCTAGTTGTTTCTGGGGCATTCTGGTTAGATGTCCGAACCATTTGACTCTTTGACGCTCTAATGAATTTACTACTGGTAGACGTATGGTCTCGTTCCTTATGCGGTCTCCTCTGGTGACGTTGGTGGTTTTGCAGAAACATCTAATTTCGCGAGCATTGATTTTGCTTTCTCATGCCTTGTTTAGAGACCATGTTTGGCACTGGTATGTTAATGTTGGTATGAAGATTCTATTGATAAGCTGGGGATGTCACTTCAGTTGGGATGTTCTTGTGACTGAGAAGGGGTGCTAGCTGGTAGGTCACTGCATTTGCCTTCATAGTTCTTTTTCTTTTTCCATACGCCGATCTAGTGAGAAGATGCTTCCAAAATATTTAAATTCCTCTACTTGTTGGAGTTGTGTTCCGTCAACAAGGATGTTGAGTTTCCCTGGGTTTTTTCTTGCCTTCATAACTTCTGTTTTTGAAATGAAGATTTTCTTGTTTAGGAGTTTAAATTCCTCATTAATTAATTTTGTTGTGTTTTTTGTGATTCCTCTTCATCTGTATTTAATGTACTCTGGTCATCAGCAAATACAAGCTCGCTCAGTTCATTGATGTTGTCATTTGCTGCTTTCGTGATCTTATCCATGTAAGTCATGAAGAGAAGCGGAGAGGGAACACACTCTTGTCTCACCCCAGACTTGATGGGGAAACAGTCCGGTAGTCCTTCTGTTGACCTTTCGGCACTCAGGTTGTTTTTATAAAGTGCCATGATGTTCTTGAGCAATTGTCCTTTAACACCATATTACTTTAAGACTACCCCGCCGGGCGATGCCACTGACTGAAGTGTCTTTATGCCATTCCAAAACAGGGGGCGTTCTAATGCACAGTATAATTGTAAATGGGCTGGTCGAACAATGGCATGCTCATAGCTATGCCTGAACTACAACAGGGAACTGCGCCTTTTTCTTTCCTAATCCTTACTGTCGTCATTTTCCTCTACTTCTTTTGTATGTTTGTCACACTCTTGTGGCCCGCTGTTTCCGGGGTGCCTTGATAGTCTAAGCAGACTTTGTGCTGTAGAAGCTAGAAAGGTGATCAGAGTAAGTTTGGTTCCCTGTAAGGACTTCTCTGTTGACATCCACCCCTTGGCGCTCATGTGACCTTATGCAGTTGCGGGTGCCGTAAAACCGCTACTAAAACCTCTAAGACTTTCAAAAGTTGACAACTATTTACCCTGTCGAACGCCTTTTCTTGGTCCACGAAGACGATATTGAGGTCTTGTCATGTCCAATGGCAGTCTCACAGAACTGTCTGAATGCAAAAAAACGTCAGTACAGCCCCTGCCTTTTCTGAAGCCAAACTGGGATTCATTGAGTTGAGTCTCTACAATTGGTCTCATTCTCATTTCCAGTATCTTGACAAACGTTATATCCGCACGGCTGAGAAGGGATATTCCTCTGTAGGCTCTGTGTTGTTTCTGTCGCCCAGGCCAGGTTAAATATCCTCCATAGCGAGAGTTCTCCGATATGGCCGTATAGTTTTATCTCTTCTGCTGTGATGTTTTCAACGCCTATCGCTTTGTTTGTGGGGCTATACTATTCTTTATAACATGTTGGGTTTCACTCTGCAGTATTGATGGTTCTGGGGTGGTTTCTTTCGGTGATAAGCTGTTTGCTGTTGTTTCTGCTGTAGGATTCAGCAGCTCCTGGAAATAGCGTTTCTATCTTTCCTTAATCTTTGGTTTTCTGAAAATAAGGTTTTCTGTGCTCAGCATTGACTATTTCAGTTTGATTGAATGGTTCATCCCGCATCCTCATGCTTTTTTTAACTCTCTAGTAAAACTCTCAAGGGTTTTCTTTACATTTTGTTACCAGCTGTTAAGCTGCACCTCGGTGATGAATGAGCTGACGTTCCCAAGGCAGGACACAGAAACATAAGGTCCACCCTACCTCACAACTCTGCACGAAATGTTTTAAGTTCCAGCACTTCAAGTACAATCACCTACATGTGCTTAAATCTGTTATTGCCAATATGCATCGTCACTTTATGACAATTACACATTTATGGCTGTTCATTATGATTCAACAGCTCTTATGAAAACCATCTGTAGTGCAAACAGAGACCACATGGCAGAGATTTATTATCCATAAATTGTGCTTTTGAGAAAAACTGGAAGTAACCAGATCTAATCTTGGCAAATTATAGTGAAACAAATGGCATTCATTGCAATCCGTTTGAGGATTCAAACATAAATTCTGCAGGTAACACACATTTATTTGACTTCAGTTGGTCGGGAATCAAACTCCAAACTAATTGGTCTTGAAAAAACATCTTTATCACTTTGTGGCGTTCCAAACAACAGACGCATATTGTAACCAAAATGAGCAAAGAGAAAACTCGCAACCCCCAAACTCTGTCCTGATGAAACCTCGTAACCCACCCGCCGGCTGACTACGAGGTTTCATCGCGACAAAAATGTTGTAATGAAACCTCGCATCCCACAGCGTAACCACATAAACAATAGAAAAGTTATTTTTATGTACTGACCACGTTTCTAGGGCGTTTTCATTTATCTGTACCAACTTTGGTTCATATAGGTCATTTTATTCAAGAGTAAATCAGTTTTTTGTCTCTCCTGTAAAATTTTCCTTTCTGGGGTTACGAGGTTTCATCACTCCACCAGCGATATGCTGACCAGGATCTGTTCTTAGCTTCTTTTACTAGCCTACCCTTGATGTATAGCGGCGGTCGTTTCTGTATAGGATGTAGTCTTCCTCTATCTTTGATTTCTACCACTTTTTGAAAGCCTTTTTCTTCAGTTGGGCGGCTTCCTTCTCTTGGTCATTCCACCATATTTTATTATTATAGTTGTTTTCTTTTTCTGCCCTCTTGTTTTCCTGGTGCCGAACTTTCTTTTATTTAATACACACGTTTTGAAGTGGCTCCATTCCTCTTCCATGTCTCCCAATTTTGGGGGAAATTTGTGAAATACAGCTTTCAAACGTTCATGTATCTTATCCTTGTTATTGTCATTTATATTTCTGAGATTTACGACTTCTCATCGTTTCTTTGCTTCTGGCCTTTTCCTGTTTGGTGTGTCAATAGTCATGATGACTGGTCTGTGGTCAGTGTCTGTGATGTAGATGGGAATCACTCTTGAGTCTCTGATTTTTCTCGGTTTCGATCTTTTGGCTAGGATAAAATCAATTTGTGATGCTATCGTTAGATCATTGCATTTGTACCCAGTTTTAACTTGACTCTTTTTGTGTTGGGAGAAGGTATTGTGAGCGGCTCTGAGAAAACCCTTCGGAAGGTGCGAGAAGCTATTCTGAGATATCGCTAAAAATAGGCCCTGAACTTCATTTTTATCGAAAACGAAATTATATGAAATTAAGAAAGATAGACCATTTCTACATCATATGTTTTAAGAAATTTGCTCAAAAGTGACTGAAAATATTTAAAATAATTATTTTTGAGGACATATCATCGCCGTATTACGCTGAATTCTTAGACCGAAGTGGCTAGCCGTACTGAGAGTCTAGCCGTACTTAGATCTCATTAGATCTAGATCTAGTAATTATTCAGGTTCAAATACATGCAAGTCAGTAAGGCACCTTTTGGTTTTGTCTGAAATACAAATACTTTTGGCATTGCAAACTAAAGATTTCATTTACAATTCAGCCACCAATATTAAGTACGGCTAGCCTGACAGTCTATCCGTACTTAAGTACGGCTAGACAAGAAGTCTGCCAGTCTAGCTGTACTTATCTTAGGCCCTATTAACATTAGAAAACAGGAGGTTTAAAATACATACACTGTCATTAAGGCACCTGGTTTCGTCTCAAATACAAATGCTTTAGGTACTGCACACTAAAAATGTATATATATTTACAATTCAGTAGGCCTATTTTTTGTAAATGGTCAGTCTAGCCATCATATTAAGAATAAGTACGGCTAAACTGCGAGTACTTCTTAGACAAACAGGGGGAATGTTTACTCAATCGGATAGACACTTCTTTCCACGGGAACCCTCACATATTATAATATGTGATACCAAAAGAAAGATAATTTTATTGCCGTTTCGGGAAAACCCAGTGCGCATGAATGTGTGAACATACAAATAGTTCTGTGAGTTGCGCATGTTGTAGTTTCACTTCTGAAATGGTATTTGTCATGAATGCAGTTTAACATCTAATGTACCATTTCCTGCCGTTCAAACCAAATATTAACTGTTCGATATTGACTTTAAGTTCTTTGTTCTGCTCTATGAAGTGTTTTTTTCCGAGTTTACTGTAAGTAAACTGATTGTTTTCTGTTTCCAAGTGGTCGAGCGCTTTTGTTTACATAATTTAATTGATTTAAGATGGCGGACCGATCAGCTGAGTGGCGTATTTCATCGATGTGGAACGATCTCAGTCGGATTGGAATGAGACAAATCACAGACGAAAATGAATTGGATGAACTGATTATTGATTATTTCAATGCAAGACCTATTGATTGTGAAGACAGTAGATTCTAGTTTGGAGGAGGAGACACATGATGAACCAATTACGACGACGACCGTGGCCGTGACACACCCACACCCCCCTGCTCATGACCATGATCTGGAATCTGGAACTTCATGAAGAAGAAGTCCTGGTTCCTGTTCAACCAATTGGCATAACATCATCAGAAGGTAAGCAAAGTTTACCATACCCGCAGTCCCAGCTTCTATACTAGTCCTTATAACTTATAATTATCAGCTAGATTAAAGAACTGTGTGTATTCTTCTAGATTCTATCCTACCTCTAGCCTCTAGCAGTATATTAGAATTGGAGGAGCTAGATTTCTAGATCTAGATATCTAGATCTAGATCTAGATCTAGAACTAGATCTACTAGATCTATCACTATACGGTAGCTTAACTCTTGGAACGAGACCAAGTCTGTCAACGTTATTATAGACTTAGATCAAGATTGTACTAGACTAGACTAGACTACTAACTAGACACTTGACTAGATCCAGACTTATTACTCTTCTAGATTCTAGATCTGGACTCCTATGACACTTAACTTAAGACTCTTGATGAAAGTTACTCGAGCTTGCAGCTGTTGTTTAGATCCCTGTCGCTTGCCTATCTGTATGATGAAGCAAGTCTCACTGCAGTGTGTGTTGAGATCTAGATCTAGATGACATTATTAAAGTGTGTTGTTTTAAATTTTATACACCAAGTCACCAGACACATTGTTAACTGTGCCTAGATCTAAGACTAAATAAATCCAGGGCCAGTTGTGTATCTCTGTAAACAGTATTTTTCTAGACGTGTGGAGATGATCTAGTGCACACTACACAGATAAATTCTTGTTGATCCCTTCAGTTTTATTTCATTGTACACTATTTTCATTGATCTCTAGGTGCAATTGCTGGCCCAGGACCTTCGCAGCCCCCCTCCCATGCTCCCAGTGAAGCAGATCCAGAGTCTCTGACTGCTGTGCTCTACAACAACAAAGTGATGCTGACCAGTGCCCAGTATTGCTGAAAGTAATGCCCCTCTCAATGGAATTGAATAATAGACTAGGGCTACTACTACTACAATTTATATTGATGCTAACACCTGCTTTAAATTTCTTGATTCATTTACAAAGCAGAAAATAATCGATCTTACATACTTTTTAGCTTTAATTATTCGACTTGAAAAGAACCATGAGAGATGCTGCACCACACTAACTTGTATTGTTGAAGGTGATGCCTCTTAATTTAATTAAATATTATAGCATTATAGTTCAGTGTGATGCTGACTCTTGCTTTAGATTTTAAAATTCCTTTACAAAGAAGAAATATATCTATTCTGAATACATACTCTTTAATTATTTGACTTGAAAAGAACCAAGAAAAGAGAGATGCTGCACTATCGCAGTGATGATCTGTCACTAACTTGTCGTCACATGAAAGTGAATTTCTTATACTGAGTAGGTCCATTTAAAAATACAGCGATGCAAAACGAAAACAAGAGGTGACAGAATGATGGACAAAAATTCTGGCTTCTTGTTGCAACCCGTCAACTGTAAAGGGATCACGGAGCAAATTATTCTCAATTGGTGGTCATTAATCACTGGTTTGTTTGAACTAATAGTGGTCATTTAAATACAGTGGTGTACAACACTATAAATTTCATTATGCAAGCTGCACACCTTTAAATCGCTCTCTTTTAATTTCTGTATCTACAGACGAGGATGATGCCTTAGGGGTGACCTTCATAGAGAACGGGACAGTGACAGCCTTTGTGGTGCCAGAAGATAAGGGTGTGGAGCAGACACCTTTGCGAAGTTGAAGGGCCTGAAGTGCTTCTGCAAGCTCAATGATGGCCTGCCTTGCAACAGCCAGTTCGAATCAACTGCTTTTGACGACCTGCGTTTGTCTTTTGCTGATATGAAATGAGAGGAGCATAATATTTTTTTTACGCGTTTTTACGTAATTCAATGATTTACTGTTGTAACATAAAAACAGTCATAACTTCACTAAAATAAAAAGCAAACTGTCCACAAATGGCACCTCTATGCTGTGGTATCAGCATTATTTGCTTCTATGCATTGTCATCATGGAAAATGTGTTCTCAAAGTAAGCAAAACTTTAAAACCTGTTTTCTCTAAATTTGACACTCGAACCCCTGTTCGCTTTAAAATGCCATAACTTTTCACAGAATGCACCAATTGCTTTCAAATAAAGTGCAAAATGCTCGGAAAAGATGTCTTTTAAAATATGCAAAAAAGTTCATTTTGAAATTTTGCACCTTGTGAAGGGTTTTCTCAGAGCCACACACGACTTCTGACGCTCATATGACTTTATGCGAGCGCTGTAAAACCTCTATACCAAAACTAAAACCCCACACAGCTGAGCTTGTTTACCCACGGCTGCAGTCTCATGTCTTACTGTTAATGGACTCATGGTCTAGGTTTGGGGAAATTGTACTAACTTATATATATATATATATTATATAGCCTACACCTTGGTGTTGATTTTATAAGAACATCTTGAATTAGAGACATGGATTCAACTTTTGATTGAGGGAATTATTTTTAGGATCAAACGACTAAGATGAAATAGGGATGGGAGCATGGACAAAGGTTGACCATCGGAAAGACACATTTATCCTACATCGTTCTGATGTTGGGTGATCATCGGTTTCCGATAGTGTGTGGGAACCCGACATTGTCCTGATGGTGGGTTGTCGTCGGTTTCCAATGGTGTGTCGATATCCTTCATCGTCCCGATGGTGGGTTGTCATCGGAAACCGATGGAAGTCGGTATCCATCATCGCGCCGATGGTGGGTTGTCATCGGAAACCGATGGTAAGTCGGTAAGTCGGTATCCATCATCGCGCCGATGGTGGGTTGTCATCGGAAACCGATGGTAAGTCGGTATCCATCATCGCTCCGATGGTGGGTTGTCATCGGAAACCGATGGTAAGTCGGAATCCATCATCGCGCCGATGGTGGGTTGTCATCGGAAACCGATGGTAAGTCGGTATCCATCATCGCGCCGATGGTGGGTTGTCATCGGAAACCGATGGTAAGTCGGAATCCATCATCGCGCCGATGGTGGGTTGTCATCGGAAACCGATGGTAAGTCGGTAAGTCGGTATCCATCATCGCGCCGATGGTGGGTTGTCATCGGGAACCGATGGTAAGTCGGTATCCATCATCGCTCCGATGGTGGGTTGTCATCGGAAACCGATGGTAAGTCGGAATCCATCATCGCGTCGATGGTGGGTTGTCATCGGAAACCGATGGTAAGTCGGGATGGTAAGTCGGTAAGTCGGTATCCATCATCGCGCAGATGGTGGGTTGTCATCGGAAACCGATGGTAAGTCGGTAAGTCGGTATCCATCATCGCGCCGATGGTGGGTTGTCATCGGGAACCGATGGTAAGTCGGTATCCATCATCGCTCCGATGGTGGGTTGTCATCGGAAACCGATGGTAAGTCGGAATCCATCATCGTGCCGATGGTGGGTTGTCATCGGAAACCGATGGTAAGTCCGTATCCATCATCGCGCCGATGGTGGGTTGTCATCGAAAACCGATGGTAAGTCGGTATCCATCATCGCGCCGATGGTGGGTTAACATCGGAAACCGATGGTAAGTCGGTAAGTCGGTATCCATCATCGCTCCGATGGTGGGTTGTCATTGGAAACCGATGGTAAGTCGGAATCCATCATCGTGCCGATGGTGGGTTGTCATCGGAAACCGATGGTAAGTCCGTATCCATCATCGCGCCGATGGTGGGTTGTCATCGAAAACCGATGGTAAGTCGGTATCCATCATCGCGCCGATGGTGGGTTGTCATCGGAAACCGATGGTAAGTCGGTATCCATCATCGCGCCGATGGTGGGTTGTCATCGGAAACCGATGGTAAGTCGGAATCCATCATCGTGCCGATGGTGGGTTGTCATCGGAAACCGATGGTAAGTCCGTATCCATCATCGCGCCGATGGTGGGTTGTCATCGAAAACCGATGGTAAGTCGGTATCCATCATCGCGCCGATGGTGGGTTGTCATCGGAAACCGATGGTAAGTGGGTATCCATCATCGCGCCGATGGTGGGTTGTCATCGACTTCTGGCGCTCATATGACCTTATGCGAGCGCTGTAAGACCTCTATACCAAAATTATACCCCCACACAGCTGAGCTTGTTTACCCACGTCTGCAGTCTCATGTTTTACTGTTAATGGACTCATGGTCTAGGTTTGGGGAAATTGTACTAACATATATAAAATATATATATATATATATCTGTATTTGATGACCCTCGGTAATTGTCATATTCTATGGTGATTTCCCGCTTTAAACTTAAACCATACTCGTTGAATTGTTTTCATATATTCTTCAAGTCTGTGTCATGCTTGGGTTTAACGGCACTTGCAACACAAAAAGTTCATATAAGCCCCGAAGATTAGAGGTGTTACAAGAGAGTAACATACACAGAAAAGAACGAGGAGAGATTTACGGTTGATTGTTAATAGGGAAAAAAAGAACAAACCACACCCCAGAGCACCCGCCAAACTCCTGCTTGAGTTATGCATGTAAGATTGAAACGGCTTTCAGTTTTAATCATTTTTACCCAATAGCAAGTTACAGAACTCTTTAAAACAAAATGAGTGACGTTTTTCTTTTGAAAATCGGACCATTATTATAATGGAAAGTGTGCCCGTTTCTTTTTTGGGATAATAGGCATTGGACTCCCGACGTCACGATTATGACGTAATTAAATGGTAAATAGAATTTTACTCTTAATGTACTTGACTTATTTTTATATATATTGATTCTACATAAAACAGCAAACAAAATGATATCTCAATGGTCACGATACAACTATTATTAAGGATTTTATGACGTTGAGAAGCAAAATTTCGAGTTTTGGCGGCACAAAATGCAGTGCAAAAATTTGGCCGAATCAGGGCGAAAATTGATTCACAAAAACGGTAGCTTCTTCTAAACTAACAAAGATAGCGAAAAAATTTTTTTAAGTTCTGAAAACAGAAAGCCATGCTCTTTTCAATTTCAATAAAATCTAAATTTTAGTGCCCTCGGAGAAGTTTGAAAATTTCACTGAAATGCCTACAGGACCAACCAAAGCAGAGTGGCGAAAAGCCTTCCAGCACAGCTACTCGATCTAAACTTGTTTATCTTTTTCTTGATGAAGGTGTATAACACCCCTGTGGAGATAATTTAGTTAATAAGCGGTATTCGGCCCTACCTGTTGTCAGGCCCGACCTAAGCTTTTGTTTTTTGTTTTAGTAAATGTTCTACCGCACTTACAACGCAATAAGGTCACATGAGTGCAGAAGATTGTTACAAGAGCGTAAAAAACAAAAAAGGGGGTAGATACAGACTACAGACGAGAGATGTCTGATAGGAAAGGAACAAACCACACCAGAGCACCTGCCAACCACCCACCGACCTGGGCTGAGAACTGTGAGATATACAATGCCCCAGTAAAAAGATCGAAATACGCAATAAAAATAATTCCCACACGCGAATCAAACACCCACCCACTCCACCACAGGCGCTGGTGAGATACTCAACAAATCATCTAAACCTTACCTGTGGGAGAGACAAGTAAGTGGTTGTTTTACTTGCAATACGGGTAAATGTTTTATACTTTTAATAAAAGTCAACACAATTTAGGTCATTAAGGTCGCAGGCTGCTTCAGCTCTGGGCTACTCGAGCAAAGTGGGGGATACAGCATCCCATGGCAGATGGACAGACATACTAGATTACAAGAAAACATGGAAATTAAATCTCATGTGTTTGCTGCGTGCAACAAGGAAAAGTTAGTTTTATTAAGGTTTTACTGGACTCGAAACTGCAAAGGGTCATATGAGCGCCAAGGGGTGGATGTCAACAGAGAAATCCGAACGGGGAATCGGGCTTACCCTGCTCACCTCTCTAGCCTCAACAACAGAAAGTCTTCTTCGACTATCAAGGCACCCCGGGAATAGCAGTTCACAAGAGAGTGACGATCATACAAAAGAAGTAGAGGAAAATGACGATATTAAGGATGAGGAAAGAAAACGCAGCACTTTCCTCTATGTTGTTCCGACATAACAGTCCTGAAGTTGCTAGAAAGTAACATACAAAGACAAAGAGAGATAAGGACTATAGATAGAGCAAACCACACCACAGCACCCATCAACCACCCACAAAGCAAGTCAAAGGAGCTGACCACATCAAAGTACTGGTCGGTCACCCAAATTGTAAAACCAAAGAATGTAAGTCATTACTGTTTTATCTTTATATCTAAGTGAGAAAGGCATACCCATGGCCTCCCATAGACACAATAGAGAAGAGAGCAGCTTGATCATAAAACAATTAAAACAAACACACTGAAGAATGGAAAAATTGTATTTTTTTAGCTTTGAAATATTTTTGTACAAAACTAGTTTGTTATAAACTACAATGCCAAACATTTAAACGACAAGAACTGAAGAGTAAAAGAAAATACAAATTACGCAGCACAATAAGTCAAAGTAAAAACATTTGACAATTCAGCGGTAGCCTTAAAATGTCTATCAAAAGGTGAAAACTTAAAATAATATTGAAACATAAAAAAACATAATCGTCATAATCAACAAACACATTTAGACACACATACACTCCATACATCAAAGAGACTTGAAAACCACATGGCCACATTGGAATAAAGAAGGCAGGTAGGCTACGTGGTTTGCAGCTTACATATATTATCATCACTTGGAAAGAGAGGTACATCCACCCATGTAAGCAAAACAGCGTAGTGCAGTGGCCTGTCATCTTGAGGGAACTTTGTGAAGAGAGCTGGTGCCACAAGTTGGAGGTACTGGCACCAAAAGATGGAGGTACTGGTACCAAAAGATGGAGGAACCGATGGCCGGCATCACGAGATGGGGGTATTGGCACCAAAAGAACCTAGGTCAAGAGAGCCGGCACCGCAAGTTGGAGGTACTGAGAGCTGGCACCACAAGTTGGAGGTATTGGCACCACAAGTTGGAGGTACTGAGAGCTGGCACCACAGAGAGCTGGCACCACAAGATGGAGGTACTGAGAGCTGGCACCACAAGATAAAGGTACTGAGAGCTGGCACCACAAGATGAAGGTACTGAGAGCTGGCACCACAAGATGGAGGTACTGAGAGCTGGCACCACAAGATGAAGGTACTGAGAGCTGGCACCACAAGACGAAGGTACAGGAACTACAAGTTGGAGGTACTGAGAGTAGGCACCACAAGATGGAGGTATTGGCACCACAAGTTGGAGGTATTGGCACCACAAGATGGAGGTACTGAGAGTAGGCACCACAAGGTGGAGGTACTGGCACAAGTTGGAGGTACTGAGGGCTCAAACCAGATGGAGGTACTGGCACCACAAAATGGAGGTACAGGGACCTGGCAGTACCAGATCTGAGGTCAGGAGAGGCAAGCCCAGCATGAGACAGCTCTCAGCTCTCTACTGAAAATGGTGTACTCTATTCACGTCCCCACCGACACAATCTAGATCATTTTGGAGGTGGGCTGCTTTAAACCTGTTTGTCGAGGCTAACCCAGGTTGAGTGTGATGTAGCATATTCTTTGTGTTTGTGTTTAAAGAAGCACATCAGCACAAAAATTGATCATATAGTACTGAGGAAAAGTAAAGAAGTAGGACCTACCAGTGTCATCCTCCAACTCCAATCAACCATAAGTAGCATCCCAACATACAGACGGAAATACACTATAAAATAGCGTGAACGTGTGGGAATTGAACTCAAGTCTTCTACAAGCAACTAAAAAGAACCTAACTGCTATATTATCAATTTGCTTTTGTTTTATTTGAGCAAAGAGAAGCACATCAACACAATGACAGCCATTAAGTGCTGGGAAAATGCAAGACAGACAGACATATATATACACTACAACAGAGGGGAAAGAAAAGAAAATAAGTAGGAACTACAAGTGTCCCCCTCCAACCACCCACAGCTCCACCAGAGATGCCAGCCTCCTCCCTTCTGACAGAACGATGCAAACAAGGACTCAGACAGACAAAAAATCACTCTGCTGCAGAATGCAGAATTGAAAATTCATAAAAGACTACAAACAGAAACCTGCAAACACATGTAAATTCGTCAGACTGCCACAAAAATCTTAGCAATCCAAAGACGGCATGATAATGACAAACACAATCGTAACGCAGCCATGGAAAAACCTTAGACAAGAACGCATACACCCAGATGACAAGCTCTCCACACACACATGCATAATAATCAGTACATGTTCACAATTTCTTCTCATCCATCTTGTCCCCAACAATGCTGGGAACACAAGCTGGTGCTGCATTTCGATACATGAGAATGTCCAATACCCACTGGCCTGTTTTCTTTCATGACCAAAAGAAGCCAGGACAAGGGCAGACAAACCTTGCACACCTGAACAGAAGCAAAGCCAGGTCTTTTGAAGTGAGTTGCTACAGTGTCATGATAGATGCTTTAAAGCAATATTAATAAGAAGTCAATGGAACATCAATGTGAGGTTCTAAGAGACTGCATTGCAGTAAAAAAATAGGGCTTGAAAAAAACTCAAACTATAAAATTTACAAGCTATAAAGAGTTAACATAGGGCATAAAATAACCTCACTGTGAGGGACATAAACTTACAAACATACTGTGTCTCCTCAGGCTAGCACAACATCCTAGAGCCTCCAACATTAATGGAAGGCAGCATTGTCACAAAGGCTGAGAAAACCTTAAGTGTATCTCCAGCATAGATGTGAGCTCACACTTCCAAAGGCCAAGAAAAGCTTGGATACCTTTGTAACCAGCAGTTAATAGAATCTCAGGGACTTTAGAATAAACTTTACCATTCATGTAAGACTACACTAACTATTCAGGATAGATAAAATAAATCTCAATGCTATACAAAAACCAAAAACATTAAGGATACATTATGCTGAACTGTAGTTTCTTTTGTACCAATAGTAAACTTAAAGAAACACTTTTACAGGTAATAGAGAAACATTATGCTAAACTTCCTTCCAACCCCACAGAATCAACTTCAACCTAAGCTGAATACAAAGTTGATCTCTGAACTTCCTTAGCCTTTCTTGCCCGAAAAGAATCAGCATTCTCTCATGACACATGTGAATGTTTCTTTAAACTACTTGTCTTTTGGGCTCATAGAAAAGCATGGATGACTCAAAGATGGACAAGTCGCACATTCGAGACATCAGTCAACATCGGGTCCAAAGAACTACTACAAAATTGTAAAATGGTGTAGTCTGAACAATCTGAGCAGCACGCTGTGTGCTGAGGGGGAAAAACTGTTAACAGTAACAGGTAGGAAAATGAATGAAAATGGTAGTTACGTCACTTGCTTCTGTTCATGCCCTCTCTTCACCTGCAAATAATCTAGGCACTGTGTGATGAGCAATTAATAATCAAGTCACAGTTGACAGTGACAGCAGCCTGAAGGAATGTCCAAGACTTCCTGCCTTGACGTTGATATGTCAGTACCTTAAAAATTTCCTCCCGCCCCTCCAAAACTGTCAGAGCCTCCGTACAAAAGACCTGGCTGAGCATCTGATCACTCACGGACACTTGCATAAATTATGTCTGCGCTCACTAGTCTGCAGTGATAATATTTTCCTTACACCTGTGCAAACTGAGGTAGAGAAAGCTTCAAATCTATACATTAACTAAAATACACCGACACATAAAAATGTACATTGAACATGAAATTTGGTACCCCCTTTGAAAAAAAAAATTAATAAAAATAAAACAAAAACAAATAAGCAAAAACTACAACAAAAACTACTTCACTCAAAAGCTAACACTGTTGTTAGCAAAGACTCTCCAAGTGGTAACAACTTTCAAAGTAGCAACAAGGAAACAATGTTACCCAAACCTCTTCTCTCAAAAGGTAAAAAGTTAACAGTCATGTTCACTTTCAAACGGTCACAAAGATCGACTTGAAGAGCTATAACAATCAGTCTTGCTCGTTAAAGTGATGGTTTGGGCAAAGAAATGTAAAAAAACAAAACAAAAAAAAAGCCCAGAAAGAAACAAAAATATATCACGGAACCAGAAATAAATGCAAACAATTACACACAAATCTGGGCACTGCGACAACAAACAAGGCAACGCAAAGACAATAAGTGAAGCAGCAAAGCTGTAGCCCTGCACAGAGGAAGTAAAATTCCCCGTGGCAGGCCTTCCCATCTTTCCAGCTCACACAGACATGCTTTTTCAATTTTCAGACATGTAATTACATTGGAATAAAAATATATCAACTGAGAGAAACCAGCCACGCACTTTCAAAGTCTCACATCTCTGATAATGCACAGGTCGAAAGAACCTCTATTTAAGTAAAAACTTACATACTAAACGGTAGACAATGCCACAGCAAAAAAAAAATCTCATTCTTTGTTCCCTTCTACTGTAACATAACAAAAGAATCAGTATTTATAATGCTTATGCCGCTGGCCAGCGTTATCCAGCTAAAGTTTTAGCATCGCTGTGTCTGTAGAAGCACTAAAAAGAAAATGAAGTGCCAACACAATGCACTAATTGGGAGCGGCTGCCTTCCACCAAAATCTAGATCAAACATAGCATTCACTTTGACCAATAGACATGTTTTTGTGCAATGTATATTTTTTTTAAAAACGTTCCTATAATGCATTGATTAAAGCAGAAACATAACAGAAACAGAACAGTCATTTCCATTGCTGCTTATAACATTTCAGTGAAACACATTTTAAGAAAGTTTGCTTGTTCCTGCAGCATAGCTCAGGACCAAATACATAAAATGTCTTCAACAGTTTATGCTGCTTACAAAAAACAAAAAACATCATTTTTTTTTTAAAAGATAAAAAAGATTCTTCATTTACATTTTATTTTATTTCTTTTCTTTTATCTTCACTTTTACAAGTAAAAAAAAAAGGTAAATATGCAAATTCAATAGAGATTTCAGTATTCATTTATCACATGTGTTCATGGGTAAGGATCATATCACTGAGTTCTACATCCATTTCCTCAAAGGAAAGATAAACCTTGATGAACAGCATCAGCGATGTTACGAAAGACACCTGGAGCAGCAAGTTGCTAGCACTTAAGGTGCTACAGAATTGTTGAAAAAAAAAAGAAAAGATAAATGATTAAAGAGTCCAATCATAAATTGACTCAATGTATGTATGAGAATGTACAAAGCAAACTTACAGGTCAGCTTTTCCTTCAGTTGAAACCAAAATGCTCAAAATGACAGTTGCCATTTTGGTGTCAAATGTTGTCTCTGGTTTAAAACAAGACTCCAGCCTTTTCATTAAAAAAAAATATATTATGGAAACCCTGAACACTAAAACAAAATTTGTTATATCTATCAAAAAAGGCAATTTGCTATTACCTTTACTCAGGTGAGAACAAAAAAGTCCTCCTTCAATTAGAATTGTATCTTACAAATAGTACAGCTTGCTATTTTCTATTATGAGATTTAAGAACTACCACACTCCTAAAACCAGCTGGAAGCTATACACATCTCTTTGGGCGGCTGGGTCGCAATGCCCACCACACGGAATATTTTGATGCATTTAATACTTTGTAGTTACCACATTTTATCAGTCACACATATAAAAACAGCAAACAGGAACATTTTCACAGGTGTACAATCACTCAGCCACTGCCAAGTTTCCACAATAAATATATGAATATATTGTATAATAATAATATAGATATATAGGTATAACATCTCGATATGATACACAAGGGAGGCATTGCCAGCGGGAAATGGGGGCATACTGGAAATAAGAATGCAGAGTGAAGGTGCTTTCCACCCCAAAAAAATGCTTTCAATCATGACATACCAAATACAAAAGCAACAACACATCAACAACACATATAGCTGGTGCACATAGACTCACTGTGTGCATTTGATGGGTTCTACTGCCCTCACCACATCAAAAGTAAAGACCAAGGCAAGGAGAGTCATCACCTCTGACCCCTACACAGCTGATCTCCCTCCTCACATCAGAGCGCCTCCAGGCGTCACCCAAACTACACAGAAAACAAAAAGTTAGTCTTCACTTCACACCTCACTTTTCACGCTATGACAGTCACACCATCACTCAGCAAAAAGAAACCACACAGAAATACACAACGAATGTTGATGCTGAACTGAATGACAAACCAAGGTCCTGAGGAGACAGCCTCGGGAAGGACTTCATTCTTGACTTCTTTGAGCATTAATCTTGGGTGCATTGAAAACTATGCTACATTTGTTCTTTAGGTCAGGCTAGAACAGAGGTGTCTCCATCAAGACATACAGATACTGAAGTAATCATCTCTTTCAAGCACAACACTGGCCTCAAGTCATTGATCCTTTCTACAAAAGGCTGTCATCTCCCATCCAGCTTACATGCATGGTCATGAGCCTGCACACAGTATACGAGTATACACATGGCACATGACATACGTCACAGGAGTAACGCTTGCCAGTAAACCTCCAGCGCTACACACAGCAATGGTAGCAGAAGTTGTCAAAGGAGCACTGATGTCATCATAGGTAGGGGGGACTGGGAGCTAAATCGGTCAACAAAACATAGCATACATCCGTAACACAACCCCCCCCCCCCCAACAAAAAAAAAATATTACAAAATCAGCAACAATGCCAAATCCAAAAATGGATGGCACATCTTGCCTCAATCTTCATTATGCATACAAAGGCAACCAGACATTCTAAAACTCAGCCCAGAACAAAGACTGCTTCAGTTTCACAAAGGTATTACATTCTGGGGCACCTCACAAATCTATAATTTAGTAGATCAACAGCAAACAGTAGCCTACCTGTATTGCGATCATCAAACAATTAATTTCATCAAGAGGGCCATCACTAAAATTTGAGTCAGATGGACCCCAACAGCAACTCTTTCCACCAAGGAGTAGCTACAAAACTTACTGCTGGACATTCTCAACATAGACAAGTCTTCTTCTCAGGGTCATTGTGTGCATAGAGCCATCATTGCCACTTTATTTCATTCTTGAGCAAGTTGTAAAAACTGATAAAGTAAATCTCCACCTTCCATCTAACCTGTAAGCCATGGCATATTCTCTACCAAGACTGATCATCAACATGCACATGTCCACAGTTTTCAGTCACTCACACACACATGTGTACAACACCTATCTACCATACAAAATTAATCTCGCCTCCTGCCTCGCAACAAAGTTTATATTCAAACTCATAGTCTTCAAACATGAAATCATAATGCTGTGCAAACCCATCAGTAATCTTCCTATACAGAAGTTAATGAACAGGCATTTGAAACTTCTGAAGCATAATCACTCAGAAAATTTAGTTAAAAATTATTCTAGCCTCCCCTTTTCAGACTACTGTGCAACACCTTCATTGACATTAATTCACTGAGGATTAACAAAATTCACACTCCCAAATAAAAATCCAACAGGTAGTGTCGTGTCAATGTCACAACATCAAGGAAGCTGCAATTATGCCAGTTCCAGTTCAGTCCATGGGCTAAAAAATATTGAATATTGATATCCTCAATTAGGCTTCAAAAGAAGAAAAAAATATGAAAGAGATTTTCAGTTGTCATACCTTCCTGAAGGTTCATAAAAAAGTTCAGCCCCCCCCCCCCTCCCCTTTTTCCTTGGAAAATGGTGGTGGTACATGATGATATAACTGATCCAGACAATAGTTTGTAGAGTTGACATGGTCATTATATCAAAGAAATATCAGGAGGCTGTGCGCAATCTGAAGAGCTTGGCATGTGACGCTCGCTCAGGGCTCCGTAAGGGATGGAATAACAAGATATGAAATAAAGCAGTAACAGTAATGCCATTTCTATCATTATTGCATTGATGTTGGGTTAAGTGTAAAAATTAAGTTATCTTACATAGGCTGCTCTCCTCAGCTGATCTTACCATATGATAAATAATTTATAGTGGTCATAAAACAACAGTAGTTCTGACCATATAAGAGTAGAAAGTATTCAGTGAGCAAATAATCTCAGCCATGGAGCCAGTCGCGTTGTTGACTGTTAAGCTAATGGCAGATGACAAAAACATTTACAATTTGTACAAAACTGCTTTAACATCATTTATAATGTGACGCTGACCGTAACTTTTGTCACATCTTTCACTTAGTACTATACTTTGTATGGGCATTATGACTGTAACTTTTCATAACAAAAATGATAGTAAACGAAGAAAAGAACAATGTTTCATCACTTCTCTACCATGCAGCATTGACACCTTCTACGATCTCAGAAGTGGCAATGCAGGATGTCATAGTCGCACTGCCACTTCATCTAAAGATTCCTTAATTTACCTGTGAATATCTAGCAATGTAAAATCAATGTTTAAGACTTCGAGCGTTGGCAGAAAATGCATTTCTATATACATTTGGCTGCAGCAGGACTATATCAAAGAAAAACATGCTTACATACAAATATGATGCACACTGGAGAGGCATGAATATCTTTTACAAAAGTGAAAATGTCAAGGCTGAACTCATCAAAATCTAGAGTTTCATTTCGTCCCCACCAGCTTTGTAAAAACTCACAACTTTCTCTTACAACAACTGAGAACCAGCCGTTCCTTTTTCTTTACTTCTTGAGGACAATGTGGAGTTACAAGGGAAGGAAAAAAAAATGTGCAACTTTGAACCTGACTCTGGATTAAAGACATAAGAAAATAAAGGCATCCAAATCATACTGAGCCAGATAAGAGTCACAACTGACCCTTTTTGAATTGCAACCTTTGGAAAAAAAAGAACGGAGGACAAAAACTTATACAGCATCTTGCACACTTTATAGAGAACAAGAAAAACCAACTAGCACACAATGAAGTCTTAATTAGAATAGGTTCAGCTCAATCTCTCAGATGGTTAAGTACAACGTTGTTAATATTTTCAGATATCATAATCATATATATTTGTAGAATATGATGCCCATTGCCTCTAGGGCAGATGGCACCGGTAATATGACCTTGATGGCATTATTAGTTACATTAGTGAGCCCTCGTGGGGAATGTTTTTGGTCAAATTTGAAGCAAGGAATGATAATCAAGGTAATTGACTTTTATTTCACTCAGACAAAAGTTTCACAAGTTTTTTTTTTAAATTTTGCCAATGAAGTTCATATGAAGATATAATTGTTATTAATTTTTCATTTTGTGAGCTATTTTTAGACCACAGATCAAGCATTTTATTCCTGCCTTCTACAACCAAGACATATATATCAGTTGACATTTGATATTGTCAATTTGAAGATACTATGAGAAGCTTATTAATACATGTAATCCTCTAAAAGGTTAGAATTCTTAACCCTCACAGCTCCAGGCTGTTCAAATAGCCCTCACTTTACAGGATCAGGTAAAACTGGAGTCCTCGACTCCTCATGCCCAGATGAAAACTGATTGTGTCAGCAATTTCTTACAGATATTAAAAACAATTTCTCCACTATTTTTCTATGGAGTTTTAGAAGATTACATGTAGAATATATTTCAGAAACAATTGGCTAGTATTTTTGAAAGACAAGCAATTGGCTAGATTACGGTAAAAATACACAACTAGGTTTGAAGTGGCGGGAGCTCTGTGAAGGAAATATACTCAACAAAAACTGGGGGAAATGAAAACTTGTGAGGACAATTTATATGACTGGAGCTGTAGAGACTAAAAAATCTGTTCAAGTTGTGCGAGTGAAAAAACTGGCTAGTATGCAAAGTCACAATGGCAATAAGTTTTGTCACACAAAAATTATGAGGTTAGCACGGGGGCACAGAGGTATTGGTCTTGTGACCCTCTAGTCTAGAGAACTGACCGGGCCAGTGGCCTCCATTTGGCAGTAAACCGGGATCTTTCAACACCATGTGGAACAGAGCACCACAAAGTACCGGTATACATGAATCGGTAAAAATAAGTTATTCGCTTTGTGCAAACACAGCATATGATTTAAAGATACTGTATAAGATAACTTCACCAGTACTGAGGTAGGCCTTCTCCATAAAAAGAGGAGACGCCAGAACAAGGCAGTGATCACTGATGTACGTGGGACAGGTCAGCAAACAAACATATTTACTCCATAGGGGTGATGGAACAAGTGCCTTGTAAAGATCAATTTTGTTCTAAATTCAGTCACAGAAAACAGAGAGAAAGGTTAAAATACTCTTTAAAAGTATTGTTCATCCCAACAGGAAAAAAAAGCAAGGCTTGAGTGACTCTTGGACCTATCAAAATACTCAGCAAGTTGGTTAGCAAACAAACTGAAGGTAAAAACACCTAACCACAAATACCACCATTCTTACTTCTTTGTTAACACACATGCACACAGCAACCAAGTCCCTTCCTCAAGCAACCAAAGTACAAACTCCATAATAATCAGTGTGTACTAAAACAGCTGGATAAGGCATTCTTTCCAGAAGTCCGTTGTCATCACTGAGAGAGGAGACACTAAGTAGAAGACACATGAGTAACGAGTGTCCTCTTCCTAGATCACAACGTTGGGTGGGTGGGGGGCAGATGTGATGACGGTGGTGACTTCACTAAGCAAAGGTTGCAGCTATGAAAGATGGGGACTGATGACAATGACGACGACGATGACTGTTGTTATACGCTGGTGGTGGACGGTGCGGGGAGCTGGGGGCTGGGGTGTAGAGCTGCTGCCTCTTTATTTCCGTCGGTGCTTGCGGAAGCGATGCCTGCGGTACAGGCTGCTGTGGAGGTTAGTCACAGTGTCGTGCGGTAAATGGTACACTGGGATGGAGATGTCGGAAATGCAGGCTGCCTCTGTTTCTGGCAACCACTTTTCCTCCAGTCTGTGAATACGCAAGACAAAGAGAATCAAAATCAAAGCAGTGAACACAAAACATCAGGCAAAATCTCCCAAGAATATGAAGTCAATAGAATGAAATTTAGCAAGCCTATTTGCATTGTTTCATATAAAAATGCCTTCAACACAATTTATATAATTTACAAGGCAGGCTTCCAACCCTGCATATCAGGCCCAACCCAGGCTGACAGGGATACAACATCCGAGCAAAGATACTCAATAAAAATTTGTTCTACTCAGGAATCAAACTCAGGTTTCCTGTGCACAGCAGCAAAGCGTCTGACCGCTACACTAACACTACAGACACCGGTACTGGTTTTTTAAAAAATCCAAACACTTTCACATCAAGATACTTTATAAAATGGTGCAGTTTGTCAACAAAAAGTACATCTCCCTGTTAAATTGCAGAACACTCATAAATCCCCACAAAGACAAAAACATATTGGGCTGAGCACAAAAAATGGCAACATCAAATATCGGTTAATCACTCATTCCAGATTCTAGCATTTAAATATGGAAATAATAACCTCATTGCGTTTATATTAATAAATTTAAAATACATGCATGAATACCAAGTGAAGCAACTAGATTCTGTTCACTTACACATATATGAAAACAAAAAAACCTCAGGAATCTTCCAACAATAGCAGAAAGATTTATAATAATAACACTAAGTAGCATAACCCCTCTCCACAGCAAGCTCTATGTGCTTTACAATATATTTATAAACAACAATCCTTCCATCCCCTTTAAAACATCTCAACTCAATAGCAGTTAGCCATTTCACTTACACATTGCTTGGACGGAACTCTACAAGGGACTGGGTATTTCCTCCTTTGGAAACTCTCCGACCAACAATCTGCAAGACAAAAAAAAATATGTTACACTCAGTCTAGTTTTCTCAAAATAAAGGTTAAAAAAGCTCTATAGTGTTCAACACACAGACAATGATTATGGCCAAACACATAGATAATGATTATCACCCAGAAGATAACACAATCAGGCTAATATCCACCTCCACATTGAAATGGTACATATCAAGACCATTCTCAATATCTTGAGACCTCAAACATCTGAGGCATAAAGATATTGTGACCTTGAACATCTGACAAAGCGCACAGTCCAAGCAAGATCAAAGGAGATAGATAGACCCTTATTTGACCTCTCTTGCTACTAAACACTATGTTCGACCTTCCATTGTAAATACTAAGGGACGGGCATTTGATTAGAGAGGGAATGCAAAAGCAGCTGGGAAGAACGCCAAAGGCACCTAAATGCAAAAACAATTTCCTCACTCTTCAGAAACCTTACTTTATCAACCAAAACTTTTAAAGAGAAATGAATGGTTTTTATGACAAAGCAATAAGAAACATATAGGCATGGGCATTTGAAGAAAAGTTTTGCATGTCCATCACTTCTCAGGTGCAAAGCACTATAAGAAACAGAGCAGACAATTTCAAAAGTGGAGCACTCGGTTCTCTCTCAGGTCATTGAACAGGTGTAAAATATTTCAGGAAAGGTGTGAAAAACATTTTCTTTCAGATTCAAATTTAAAATGTTCACAAGTATGCCAAAATCCAAAACAACCAGCCACAAAAGCTGAAGTAACTGAAGATCAAGCACTTTACATGCGCTCAACTGAAAATAAAGGTCTTCCTTCTCATTTCATAAGACCTGTCCAAGACTACCATTATTCATGTGAGGAGGTAGTAAATTAATGTTTTCCAGTAAAGAATAGGTGAACGCTGGCACATGTATACAGGACAAGAACCTTCACAGAAAAAAAAAAGTAAATGAATCCAAGCCTTGTGGCCGAGTTGTAGCAAAACAGTCAAAAACTAGGACAAATTCTATCAGTCTTGTGTTACAAACCACATCTGGTCCCATCATCACATTTCTTCAAGACAGATGCAAAGCGTAGATAGGTAATGTCTTAGTCTTACATTTACAAAATAGCTTTAATTCAGTTTTCATGTGTATAAAATCTCAAAATTTCAATTCCAGAACAGCAACATTTTGACATACTTTTCAGTAGAATGTAACATGTCATTTACAAATTGATTGACAGCTATGAATATAGGTGGGTTTTTCTTTAAATTTTAAAATACAGTCGGCTACCCATTGATGAGGAGAAAAGTGGCCGCCTTAGACAGGTGTAAGTCTCACACATAGTCAGTATAAAAGGGGGGTGGCAAGGAGAGAAAAAGGATGCAACCGTTTGTACTAGTGATTGTCTTATACAGAGAGCAAGTGCGACTGTATAAAAACCTCTAGTGCCAATGGGAAGAAATTACCTGTCCATGGAATGTGGCGTTAAGAGATCCATGGGTCAGGTCAAGCTGGGCCACCTCTGTCAGGGCCAGGAGTTCTTGCTTGACCACAGCCATGGTCTCCTCGTCGAAAACATCACTTTTCTTCACTGAAACAGCACATACACAAAAAAAAGGGTGAGCCACACATAGAGAAGGTAACAAATTGAAACACAAAAACTATGCAGACCTCTAACTATGGGCATTTTTTTCTGCGCAATTTGTTTTGAGCGATACAAAGAAAAGCTCGGCTACTGTTGTGTTGATTCCTAGATTACATCAGTTTGGGGGGGAAAAAAGAAAAGTTTCCCAGAGGCCAATAAGGAAAAGAAAGACAAAAAAGAAAAAGAAAGAAAGAAGGCAAAACAAATAATTAGTTCGAGTTTGTCTCTGGTTTACAGATAGGCACAAAGACAAGGCAGAGAGTGCTCAGGAAGAGTGAGACAGGCAGCAGGCAGAAAGACAAGGCAGAGAGTGCTCAGGAAGAGTGA